TATATATATATATATATATATATATATATATATATATATATATATATATATATATATATATATATATACCATATATATATAGAGAGAGAGAGAGAAATTATAAGCTGAAAAAGTGAGAAAAATATAAATACAATACACACAAAAAACAAGCTAATGGAAAATGAAGTTGTGTATATTAAGATTTTGTGCAATAAATCATGTGTAAATAAGTTTTAAATAACTAATGCTTATTAGGTATCCTATGTATTAACAACAAATAATTTCTGATATCAGTATTATTTACTATGTTCGCTTTAGCTGCAATAATCTCATACTTTCCTCTATTTGTGTTGTTAATCTTGATCTCTTTTCTCTTCTCTATCATTCCATTGCCTTTTATTAAAGTATTATCATTATTGCTAATGTCATTATTTTTATTAGTGTTATTGTTGGTGATTTTATTTTGGGACCATTTCTACTGTTTTTCTGTTAGTATTATGGTCATCATAATCATATTGTTATTGTCATCATCATCACCACACATCATTATTCTAATTAAATTACAATTTGTTAGATATCCTTTGTTGTCATTATTATTATAATAGTTATTATTATCATTATTAATTAATAGTTATATTATTACAACTTGTAATGTCACCTTTATCCTAATAGTAATAATAACAGTAGTAGGCTTTATAGTACTTTCATTTTCATTTTACTATTGGTATTACTTGTATTAGCAGGTATTGACACTACAGTGGTCATCACCTTTCTTATCCTTATTTTAATTATTAGCAACAGTGGAGCTTTTGGAAATATCACACAGTGGTGTCTTAACCCCATCCTGACTTCATCACTTCTTTTATACAGCGAGGTCAAGGATTTCCTCGACTGGTTATTGCATCAAGAACTGTATGGTGCTAAATGTGGCTTTCTGTTTTTATGAGTATTTTTTCTTATGGACAAACTGCTGTGCTGGTGGAATGGAGAAGAGAGAATCCCAATAAATAACTTTATTGTCGGCCTCTAAATCCTATAAGAATTCATCATCATCTAGCCTTTCTTTGTTGAATGTTCTGGAAAACACTACTACCAGAGGCAAGCCATGCAATTATTTGTATATTGCATTTTGCTTCTGTATCATGCTATTTACCCTTTGTGCCGAGTCACCATTTACTTTGACTAAAGTTTCCTCAACGCAAGATAGATGCTTCCTCCCGAACGGTGGTCTTTCCCGCCCAAATTAGTTCCGAAATTTTGAAAATCCTCTTTTGGTGGACTCTATGGAAACTTACCCGCCCTTCTAACTTCTCTCTGATGACGTAACAGGGTTCTTTATTTTTAAGATTTGCCTGCGCAGCACAAGCAGAGAGAGCGAGAGGGGAGGGATGAGGGGGGAAGCAAAGGGGGGAAGAATTAAAGCCCGTGGAAGTTAAAGAAAATAGAATGGATAGACCTGAGAAGTTATAATCTGAGACACGTGAAGTTGAGAGAGAGAGAGAGAGAGAGAGAGAGAGAGAGAGAGAGAGAGAGAGAGAGAGAGAGAGAGAGAGAGAGAGAGAGAGAGAGAGAGAGAGTGAGTGAGTGAGTGAGTAATGGATTTCTAATAATAATCTATGACATGAATCAGGCCTTCTGCCGTGAGGCCCCTTGTCTCGCCAAGAGCCTGCCTGGGCCTCGGCGGGGAGCCTCTGCGCGAAGGAGGCGGGTCAGCTGATCCGGCGGATCCAAAATGGCGGACGGCGGCCTCTTCCACGCTCAGGCTTTCTTGGTCGACGAGCTGCTGGAGGACGAGATGATGGCAGCTGCAGCCGTGATTGCAGACAGGAACGAGTTTTTAAGAAACAGAGAAGCACTGCAGCGCCGGAAGAAGCCGCAGAAGCAGCCGGCGCTAACGGTCGACTACGTTGAGGTGGTCGTCCCTGGATACTCGGATGCGGTTTTCAAGTCACATTTCCGCATGCAGAGAACATCCTTTGAGGTGAGTGGTGGCTTTAATGCGAGCAGTTAGAGCACGATATGGATTTAGCCTGAAGCATACGCGCAGGCAGTTATTTATGCCCGGAGTGACAATTAAGTTCTACATCAATCGTTATTGTTGTTAGAAAAATTGCCCGCCAAAAGATAGCGAGAAACTAAAGTTGCCGTGATCTTGAACATTAAAAATATTATTGACTATAACAAAATATCGCCATTGATTTACTACGTGACAGCCTGTCAATATTTCATAAATATCTCCATATGACATCCTGTACATATCGTGTATTCTTAAATTAAATTCTCTTGTAGGTTTAATTGAGCTCTAACCCAGTCGTGGTGAATGGTTATGAATTCGGGAAGAGTGCAATGCAAAAAGAAAAGATAATTAATATGAATAACCTTCATTTACCATCTAGTGTGAATAAAAATGCAAATGGGGTTGGGCCACACCCTCTGCTAGCTTATATTTTTTCAGCATCACAGGCTGGCACAGGTTCTCAGGCCAGCATAAGTAACTGTGAGAAAATCAAAATGTTCATGAATCAACTATTCAATAAATTAAGAAATTTAACTACATACTTAATTTTTAGAACATATTTTGTTATAGCTTTACCACTGCACGCAACTAGAATTTCCTTTATTACAAATTAACTTTGTAATATTTGGTGAAAAACATTTGGGAATATCATTGGTGTGATGAAATTAAGCACTAAAATGCATGTTGTTTGTAAGGGAAATCATCAAACCTAAAAAATTCAGGTCAAGTAAGTTTTAACAAACTGCATGTTGTTTTCCTTCCTTCCAAGTCACTTATGGATGGGATAAGTTTACGGAATGTAGATTATATTTTATGTCATAAAGAATGTAAGTCATTTTCAATCTCCATATATATTCAGTCATCAGTATCAGGAGAAACTACTTTAACTATTTGTGAATGAGTTTACTGGTATGCAGCATGTAAAAATCAAAGATTTGTCTTATATTTTAAATGAGATGTATATATTTAGAGTCACAACAAAATTTGGTTTGCATTACTGGAAGTTTGTAATTTATGATGTTTTTAAATGGCTTGTTATTTTATTCCACAGTTTGCTTAGAATATTATTACAAAAAAAAGAGCTTTCTGAAGATGTCAAAATTTACTCAAGCTGTGTTTTGATGCAAAGAAAATAATTTATTAAGGGGCCTGAGCAACCAGAAATAATCAGATACATCTACTTATTATTATACATATTTTTTTCATGTTTAATACATCATAGAATTTTAGTAGTTGCCATTAAGAGCTGAGTCTCATTTGAAATGAATGTAGTATTGCATGAGCAAAACCAGAACATTAGTTTTTAGTTATTAAGAAAAGACAGAACTCCAGTCTTCATTGGTATTTGAATGTATTAATATCCTTAATGTACAATCAGAGTCCAAATAGTATGATGGGTATATTGTATCATCAGTATTGGCTTTTCACATTGCCTTACCAGAAGAGGAATTGGGGATGTGCCACTGCAAGAAAATACACTTGAAAGTTAAGAAAGAAATATTTCCTTAGTGTATATATAAATTATTAAATAAGATGATCATATCCTTCAGGTTTCAACTTGATATTGAACTAGCTGGTATTAGATTAGTGGTTAATAACTATTTTTGGGTCTGAGTATCTTTTGACCCAATGCTTCTAAGAAAGTGTAATGGTCACTGTAGTTTTGTTTTGTGAAATGTTTTTTACACAATGATGGCTCCACAATTGCTTGACTACTAAGGAGTCAATTTGTAGACTGTAACCTCATCTGATATCCCCATGAGTTAAAAAAAAAAAAAAAAAAAATCTCAGTAGTATCAGTGTGTAATAGTCTGAGTATTATTATTACAGACTTTATAATTCTTATAATGCTATTAACAATATTAATAGCAATATATTATAGAGAACATTTCCAAAAATAAGGAAAAGGGTAAACAGGTTGGTTTAGTAGTATGATTGATTTACTCCTTGGTGACTAAGCACTTGTGGAGCCATCTATATGTAAAGACAAAAAACAAACCTTACAGTGTGTATGACATGTATGTACTATACCCTGTGCGGTAGCATTAGGTTAAGCTATTATCGATTATACAAAATAGGTTAAATTTCTTATCTTATTATTGTTTGTTGATTAATTAATTGATTTATTAATATATCTATAGCCGGTCATCTGTATTACAGTATAATTTTGACTGTATTTTCCCCCTAACAGATTTCCTCAGTACTACAAACACTGAATAATTGGTCAACAAATTGATTTTCAGATTTTGTTCAGCATAATTAACCTATAACCTGTCAGTGAGAATTACTACCGTACCAATCCCCGCTGCCAGGCTTATCATCATTATTTTTTAACTAATTCCAATTTGAGGGCAATGTCAATGGTTTGTAAAATTGTTTATTACTCTTTGATTACCAGAGAATATATACTTTAACAGAGAACATTATAGTTTCAGGTTGAGTTATTATTTGAATAGTTTTGATATTTTGGATGTATATATTAGGTGTTGGTAGTCACACATAGTATTTTACTATGTTAAGGAGTTTAAATTTAAAAAAAAAAACTTTATTCAATAAGTCTATATTTCTGCCTGAACTTCAGTTTAGTACTTTTTTCAGCATATCAGCCTGGCATAGTTAACCCAATAGGTAATCACACTGTCAACTGTTATTTTCTTTGTGTGCACATAGATAGCTCCACAAGTGCTTAGCCACCAAGGAGCCAATAAGTAAGCCTATGTGTCATTAGCTGGTTTCCCCATTCCTTGAGATTTTGAAAATATGGCTTTTCTAATAATTCTATTAATACCAATCTAGTTATTATTGTTGCTGACATTATTATTATGGTGATGTTATTAACCCCTTGCCGACGGGGAAAATAATTAAAAAATGGAGAAAATGCTATGCTCATTTTCTATATTTTTTTGTGAAATGTTTCTAGATAGATGGTTCTGCCTTACCTGATTTCACTTTTCCTTGAATTGACGGGAAAATTTTTACTAGTGCTATGAATATAGATGATGTT